ACACACACACACACACACACACTTACACTCTCTCTCACACAAACACACACACACACAAACACAGACACACTCACACACACTCACGTCAGTATCTCAGACTCACCGGAAGTTGTTGCATCCCAACACGACACCTACGATGTTTTTTCCAATATCATGAACGTCTCCCTTCACTGTGGCCAGCAGAACCGTCCCCTGATACGGGTCCTGGAGAACAAAACAAGCTTTCGTAAGTCTGAGCAGATCTTCATGCGAGCCACAGACCAGCTGAACTGAGAGAACATCATTCTGCACACGCATGATCAGATCACCAGGCTCCTCTGCTTCAGTGAGAGCTCAGGGGTTATTCATGAGTAAATCTGTGCAGAGCTTCACTATTATAAACCACACGGATCTCTTGTGAGGAGAGAACGCTCACCACGTCCTCAGTAGAGCCGGAGACGGACATCATCTGCTCCCGCTCCTTCTCCATGAAGGGAATCAGATGACCAACAGCTTTCTTCATCACACGGGCCGATTTGATCACCTGACGAAACACAAACACAGACACCAGACCTGAAAAGACTATTTACTGTCTAAACTCACGTTCCTGCTCTTAATCATCAGTTACTCTAGAAAACATAAGTTTATAATCTTGCATCAATGAACCCTCTCAAAAAATAAAGCCCAAAAGGGGAATTTAGCAGCATTTTTTCATAATGTGAAGCACGTTTTAATAATCAGAGGAACATTTTTCTACTATAGAGAACCTTTTGTGGAATGAAAAGATTCCATGGATGTTAAAGGATCTTGGCCCTCACTCCACATCTTCAGCTTCTCTGCTGAAGCTCCTCGATATGAATCGGTGACATCCTCAGTAATTTTCTGTTACCTGAGGTAGGAACATCTTCCCGGCTCCGAACAGATCTCCGACGGTCTTCATGCCGTTCATGAGCGGGCCCTCGATGACGCGCAGGGGTCGGGGATAGTGGTCGGTCTGAGCGCGCGCCTCCTCCGTGTCCTCCACCACATACTTCTCTATACCCTGAGAACACATTCACAGCGCTTTACACACGTCTGTTGATCTTCCATCACGCTGGAGACTTACGTTCTGAAACCATGTTGAAATAGCTCTCAAATGTGTCTCAAACGAGTGTGCAGCACGAGTTTGTGTTCATGGCTCTGACCTTGACGAGCGCATACTCCAGCCGCTCCTCCACACTGGCCAGCCTCCACTCGTCCGTCTGAATCACTTTCTTCCCTCCTTTAGTGTGATTCTACATCAACCACAGCAGAAACACATGACAACATGAGGAACACAGACCTGTTACAGCGCATGTTAAATCAACACAATCCAACAAATCATCCAATTAAAACAGTTAGAAAAGACTTCTATTTTAAAAATATTAAGCAGCAAAACAGTTTCCAACACTGATAATAAATCAGCATATGAGAATGATTTCTGAAGATCATGTGACACTGAAGACTGGAGTAATGATGCTTAAAATACAGCCGCGCATCACAGAAATACATTACAGTTTAACAGATATTCACATAGAAAACTGCTATTTTAAATGGTAATAATATTTCACAATATTACAGTTGTTTCTGTATTTTTGGTTAAATAAATGCAGCCTTGATGAGCAGAAGAGACTTCTTTAAAAACATTAAAAATCTTACTGATTCCAAACTTTTGAACAGAAGTGTATATTCAGAATATCTACTATTATAATAATTTTGGGTTCAAATAAACAACTTTTGGGCCGGCTCTGGTTCTGTACCTGTGCGTACAGCAGGAGCTTCTCAGTGGCCTCTGGGTCTCGGTTCCAGATGATGTTCTCACACAGCAGCAGCAGCTCTTTATCGATGTCGTCATACACCGGCAGATTACCAGCGTTCACGATTCCCATATCCATGCCGTCCTGAACACACAGACAGACACACAGACACACACACAGACACACACACAGACACTAAAAGGGAGTTTGCAGTAGGAAACACCTCCTGAGCCGTGAGTCGAGACGCACTAACCTTGATGGCGTGGTAGAGGAAGGCTCCATGCATGGCCTCTCTGATGACTTCCATCCCTCTGAAGGAGAATGAGAGGTTGGAGAGACCACCGCTGACCCTGGCTCCCGGCAGACTCTCCTACACACACACACACACACACGCTTTGCGTGGCTCTGATGAAGTTAACGGCGTACATGCTGTGCTCCTCCATGCCGGTGCCGATGGTCAGGATGTTGGGGTCAAAGATGATGTCGTTGGGGTCGAAGCCCGCCTGACTGATCAGCAGGTGATACGCACGAGAACAGATCTTCACCTTCTGATCCGTCTCTGTCGCCTAGAACACACCAGCGGATGAGCCTCAGGGGATTAAATCTCAAAAAGAAATATCTCAAGATTATTTATTCTACATGTTAAGTCAAATCACCTTTATTTCCATAGCGCTTTATACAATACTGTCATCATTTACTCACACTCGTGTCATTCTAAACCTGAATGACTATTTCTTCAGTGGAACACAAAAGAAGATATTTTGAGCAATGTCTCAGTGTTTTTTTTTTGTCTATACAATGAAAGTCAATGGGGTCCAATGTTATTTTGTTTCCAATGCTCTTCAAAACATCAAAAGAAAACCACAGGCTTTGAATGACATCACAATCTAATTCAAATTAAATAAAGTAAAAATAATAATGTTATAATAATTTAATAAACAGGAACCCACCTGTCCATCTTCATCAAACGCCATGACGACCACCGCGGCGCCGTAGCGACGGACCCGTCTCGCCCGTCGCAGGAAGTCCTCCTCGCCTTCTTTGAGGCTGATGCTGTTAACGATGCATTTGCCCTGACAGCACTTCAGACCCGCCTCGATGACCGCGAAGTTTGACGAGTCGATGCACAGCGGCACCTGCAGCACAGGTCAGGGGTCAAAGGGTCAGACTCTCAGGTTCACCATGTCTAAAAGGCTCATTACTTATGTCATCGTTCAGGGGTCACTCATTAGCAGACCACAGTCTGGTTCCTGACACTGACCAAAGACAACAACTGCAGCATTTTACTGCTTCTACAGTCTAAGTGAAACGTTACTGTGTTTTCAGGAATATAAGTCACAGTTTGTTTATCATCTGCAACTTATATTCCAAAGTAACTGTATAATGCTATTAACGTCAAGCATGCAAAACATGCGTAAAGCCACACATCTGTACTGGTGCTGAATGAGATTTGTATTGCATTTACACATGCCAGTAGTTTCAGTTTCACTTTAAATAAATTATTCTAGGCTTGGTGTCTAAAATATATGTTGTATTATAGTTTGTTTGTTTTATACTTATTTATATTTGTCATTCTTGTTCTGAATACTGTTAAATGTAAAGGATTTCTTGTGGAGTGAGGAAAACTAAAATACGTTTGCATTTAGTCATTTAGCAGATGCTTTTATCCAAAGCGACTTACAAATGAGTACAATAGAAGCAATCAAACCAAAAAAGAGCAACACTATAGAAGTGCTGTGCTTAGTCTGATGCAGGACACATAGCAAGGTTTTGTTTGTTTTTTTAAATAATAAATAAAAAGTATATAGAATAGAAATCGAATAGAGAGAGCTAGTTTATATCGTTTGTAAGCATGATTCTGAATATACTAATAAAGTGTGACATACACACATATACAACTCATCTGAGCTTTTGTTTTTTCCCTCAACAATGCAGTTCTGATCTAGTGCGGCGTATTTTCTGGAGTATACAGTATAGAGACTGGAGCTCTTGTAACTGAACAGCCCTGTCACGGTTATGATGAAGCCTCACCTTCGCGATGTCGGGTTCAGATGCGATGAGCTTACAGAAGCGGGTCATAGCAGCAGCTCCATCCAGCATCCCCTCGTCCATGTTAATGTCCAGAACCTGAGCGCCCATCTCCACCTGAGCTTTAGCGATGCTCAACGCCTCCTACACACACACACACACACACACACACGCACAGACAGACAGACGCACACAGACAGACAGATGCACACACGCACAGACACACACACACACACGCACACACAGACACACACACACACAGACACACACACACACACAGACACACACACACACACAGACACACACACACACACAGACACACACACACACACAGACACACACACACACACAGACACACACACACACACAGACACACACACACACACAGACACACACACACACACAGACACACACACACACACAGACACACACACACACACAGACACACACACACACACAGACACACACACACACACAGACACACACACACACACAGACACACACACACACACAGACACACACACACACACAGACACACACACACACACAGACACACACACACACACAGACACACACACACACACAGACACACACACACACACAGACACACACACACACACAGACACACACACACACACAGACACACACACACACACAGACACACACACACACACAGACACACACACACACACAGACACACACACACACACAGACACACACACACACACAGACACACACACACACACAGACACACACACACACACAGACACACACACACACACACACACACACACACGCACAGACACACACACACACACGCACACACAGACACACACACACACAGACACACACACACACACGTCACAAGCAGGTAGAAGAAGGTTTGTGTGCAGTAGATGTATTCCAGTAGTCTGTCACAGGGCTCTTCCTGCATGTTATGATTTTAAGGCTTCATATCACCCCAAAATACTAGGGATGCACCGATATGAAAATTTTGGCCGATACCGATACCCGATAATTCTTTATTTTTGAAAGCCGATAACCGATATGTTGGCCGATAAATCTATATCCAAATTTTTATATACTTTTTGAGAGCCATCTGAAGTGTCTCTGAAGGAAATAATGCATTATTTATCGGCTTTAAGATATTGGCCAAATTTTCTTATCGGGCCAATACCGATAACATAAAAAATGAGCATTTATCGGCCGATACCGATA